AGTGTTTCTACATGTCTGTATTTCATATATTTTATTGTAAAAGAACAAATCCACAATTGCTTTAATCAGGGTTCGAATCTACGCAGGGGATGTTCCCAGAAGCGCCTTAGTCAACTACACTATAACATGGTTAAACCCTGATCAAGGCCCTTGTGTATTTGTTCATTTGATATATCATGCTATTGTGATTTCTCTGTGTTGTATTTATATTGTATTTATACAAATGTATTTGGTGTTGTATTTTATTGTATTTATATGTTGTATACGTGAAACACACACACATTCTATTTCTGTCTAGTAACAGTGGAAATATTTTGCATTCAATAGATTGTATATTTTTCCCCCCGGGGGGGAAAGGTATTGTATTCTTTATACAATACTTGTATAAAGCTTGCAATATTTTTTTTTAAATTACATATATCAACATTTGTTGAAAAAGTGTGACAACGGAGTACTGAATAGGTTGGAACCTTTACGTATAAGTTGGTACTCTTCTCTCAGGCAACTGATTACGTCTTCTCAGAAGAAATTTGAAATCAGAAAAATCTGATGAGCTACTTAAGAAGCTGACTACAATGTTCTGTCTGGCCCTAACATATGTGATTAGCCCCCCTTGTTCCATCTCAACTAATTGGCTGCTCCTGATCTGTCATCTAATTGGCAAGGCCTACCCATCCCTGGTAACCAATTAGCAATTATTTTCAAACCTGGGTATCGTGGGTGACATAGAAAATAAATATGTATGCTCCAGCATCCATCCGATCAATGTCCCTGAGTCAAGGGGAAGAGAGAGACATGTTTCCCCCGGAAGCTGCGAGAAAGATACAATGATACACGGAGCATGATGGATGAGCCAGCTTGGGAGGATCTTCTCACACGCCTCGGGTCCCCGGTTCGAGTCTTTTAAGTGCCCCAAGTGAATGGAATCTCCTCTTCACCACCCTCCCCCCCCCTTCCACAGCCCATCAGAGCATCATCTATTATTTGTCACGTTGACGCAATACATACACACCCCCATGTGTGTAGCACTACATATGGGTATGTGTATTTTTCTAAAAGGGGGAAATTGCAAGATATAGGAGGTAATTAAAGGGGGCGGAAAGGGGGAGAGAAATATAGAAATAGAGGGAAATAAATTGTCTCTTGCGGGCAAGACTATTACGACATGCAGATGAGCAGTCACAATAACGTGGCTGAAATATGTTGACCAGACCACACACTAAAAAGTGAATGGACGACGACGTTTCGGTCCGTCCTGGACCATTCTCAAGTCGATTCATAATGGTTTAGGACGAACCCGAAACGTCGTCTTTTCTTTATTATCTCATATGTGGTTCAGTCATCAAGAAGAATAGTTTTTACCGGCTGTAAACACCAGCAGTTTTCAGCAGGCTAAGATAACCAGGAGACTCTCTCCTGAGTGACGGTGCGTGCAGAGGTCACAGACCATTTTGAATCTGTGCCCAATCGTTAGAATTTGCTTGGTCTCGTGGCCTGGAAATCAAATCAAAGTTGGCAGAACAAGAGGAGAGAAGGTGAAGGGACGAAGACGTTTCGGTCCGTCCTGGACCATTCACAATCGACTTGAGAATGGTCCAGGACGGACTGAAACGTCGTCGTCCCTTCACCTTCTAGTGTATGTGGTCTGGTCAACATATTTCAGCCACGTTATTGTGACTCCTCGTCTGCAAAGCAGAGGAGTCAGCCACGTCATTTAGGGGGTCTGCTCTGGGGTCCCGAATCTTGAATCTACAGAATAGAGATCAACATTTGATGAGTGTTAACCATTTGTATGACGTGCCTATAGCTATACCTTGACGCTATATCAACAATACCCCACAAGTGCATCGTATAGTGAGTCTCAGAGCCCCTTTAAATCTCAAGTTGAATAACAGATGGAAGAGACAGTAAAATTATGAGTAATTTTATGTTTACTTGATAATGTTAGAAGTGAAGAGAAAGGGTAAAAGGTCGTGATTTTTAACATGTTTAGGTTAAGTGTACATGTTTATAACATGAGACAGAGAGGTGTCCAGTGGGTCTTCTTCCTGATGGAAGGATGGGAGTTCACTCACAGGATTACCTGTGGATGATTTCGAGGATCAATATACCCAACCAGCCCTCCTGGTTGCCGGTCTGATCAACCAGGCTGTTCAATACGACTGCTCGCAGCCTGACGTACGAGGCACTGCCGAAAATTATAGAACATACCCATTGTTAAACTAGCTTCAAGCTGCCAATAAATGAACTTTATTTGTAGAAAGGTGTATGCAACTTCTGGGTCAAGCTTTGCAATGGCAAAGCTTCTGAAATACTGCACGCGACGGAGAAATATAATTACTAGTGTTTAGTGGAATCAAAAGCTTTTGTTAGAGTAATCTACTTAATGAGAATTTGAGTGTTTTTTCAAGTAAAAAATAAAGTTCAGTATAGAATCAAGTATTCAGTCGTTCTGTATCAAATATTGGATGTATTTTCATGCAGTTGAAGTTATTAAAGTGTTCTCTTGTTCTTCATTGTTTCATCTTAGTGTTCAGTTATCCAGGTGTTATCCTTTGTTTCCCACTATATATCAGTTATCTCAGTGTTCCGGTCCCTAGTTATCCTTCTTTACCCCCCTTCCCTAGTTATTTTCAGTTCTTCTGTTCCTCAGTTATTACTCCAGTTATCGTTAGTTATACCGATTATTCATTCCTTTGACTTGAGTTATCATAATATCCCCGTGTTCGCCTGTTTCCCCAGCAATTATCCTAATTATCTTCAGTTAATCCTAGTTATTCCTAGTAATCCCAGTTCCCCCCCTAGTCTCTACTCCTTCCTTTCTTCTATGTTATCCAGTGTTCCTCCTTTTTTTAAGCGTCTATCAAGAGTATTATATTTGCTGGGAACTCCGACCTTTCAATAGAAACAAGTGTTAACTTTGGTTTTGCAATGCCATAAATTTTAGATTTAGACATGGTAATTACAGAGAAATAAGAGCAGAGGCTTCCACTTTTGTCTCTCTCAATCACACACACACACACACACACACACACACACACACACACACACACACACACACACACACACACACACACACACACACACACACACACATTGACAGGTTAGAAAAAGATGGATTATTTAACACTGGTGGAAGCTGAGTACCCAAATGAGCCACAGAGGCATTAGAAAGAACTTTTTTGAGGGGTCAGAGTAGTTAATAAATGGAATACATTAGGCAGTGTTGTGGTGGAGGCTGACTCCATACACAGTTTCAAATGTAGATATGACAGAGCCCAGTAGGCTCAGGAATCTGTACACCTGTTGATTGACGGTTGGAGAGGCGGGACCAAAGAGCCAGAGCTCAACCCCCGCATGCACAACTAGGCGAATACCCACATGCACACCTGGTAAGCCATCCCACACTAAAACTACATCTTCCTGACAGCACAAAACATATGTTTTGACAAGTTGTAAAATTGCCTAATAATGATTGACTTGCTTTGGAACGCAGACTACAAAAAAAAAACTGGTTGACAAAAAAAAATTTAATAAATTCCAGAGCAGAATATAACCTGTTTCATGATTTACTTTTTTTTGTAAACAAGTTTGGCAGTAATGGCAGTGTTGTCTACTCATAACACAAGTGCAAGCATGAGGTGTTTACTGGACATATCTAGGCCTCGTCGGCCGTCAGGGGGGGAAGGGGGGTGGAGGGGGTTAGGTAGATATTACATAACACCTTCCCTTTCCCCCCCCCCCACCAATCTGGGGTAGATACTCTCAAGTAGACGTCTCCGCTCTAGTAACTCTACGGTAGACGGATAACAGCTGCAGGCGATGAGTCACAATAACGTGGCTGAAGTATGTTGACCAGACCACGTCGTCCCTTCAACTTCTAGTGTGTGGTCTGGTCAACATCAGGATAACAGCTGTGTCACGGACACTCGACCCCGTCCTCTAAGCTAATAGGTTACATTTCGTACGTTGTGGTAACCAGCGTTACAAATACTCTACTCGAACATAAAAAATAAGTTACAGCTCACAGATATCTACGTTTTCTATGCATCGACTTCAATAGGTTAGGTTAGGTTACTTGGGTTCTTACTTTTTCCGGCTAACTCTGGAGGATGACCTTTTTTTTTTCCCCAGAGTGGCAAATCAAGAGAATGAAACTATTTACACTGGCCGTGGCCCGCTGAGCCACCAAGTTCCTTTCTCTATATTATTTCCTTACACACTTAATACAAAAAGATACAGTAAGTTATGTTATTATAGATTTTGACCCATAAAGGGAACATTCTCCCACGTTAAATATTTTTAATTTTGTACCGGAGGGAGGGAATTATCAAGGGGAAAGCGCCAAGCCTTTACGACAATATAGCACTGGGAAGGGGTCATAACAAGGATTTGGGATGGGACGGGGGAAACGAATGGTGCCCAACCACTTGCACGGTCGGGGATTGAACGCCGTCCCAAATGAAGCAAGACCGTCGCTCTACCGTCCAGCCCAAGTAATTGGACATTTTGCCCCGAGGGGCAAGGTCATTGGGCAGTGCCACTCATCTTGTGAGTTGGCACTGCCACACCGCCATAGCAGCATGTACAACACTCCCCAATAGGAAGAAAACCCGCTGGGTTGTTCACCCTGTCACCAGTAACCAGACACAGCTAGGGCTCACTAATGACAAGAACCCAATTGGCTGGAGAACCTATACATCAGTAGATTGACAGTCGAGGCGGGACCCAAGAGCCGAATTTCAACTCCCCCCCTCTCTTCTCCCCGCAAGCACAATTAGGCGAGTTCTAAATCACTTATACAAACAATTCAATAAACGCGTTTCAATACCCAACAAAAAACAAAAATTAATTTTAAACTCATTTTCATATTGAGTAAAATCAAAGAAATGATGCAAAATAATTCTGAAAAAAAAGATTCTAAACGGGCTTGACTGAATATTGCAAAGCTTATATATACATTAAAAAGTCATATGCTTTCCCTGGCCTGAAAATTTCAGTGTTAAAATATGCAAGTACTTGAAAAGCACCTATAGTTCGCGAGAACACTCCGAACACTCCGTACCTCCGAGAACACTCCGAACACTCCGTACCTCCGAGAACACTCCGTACCTCCGAGAACACTCCGTACCTCCGAGAACACTCCGAACACTCCGTACCTCCGAAAATACTCCGAACACTCCGTACCTCCGAGAACACTACGAACACTCCGTACCTCCGAGAACACTCCGAACACTCCGTACCTCCGAAAATACTCCGAACACTCCGTACCTCCGAGAACACTCCGAACACTCCGTACCTCCGAGAACACTCCGAACACTCCGTACCTCCGAGAACACTCCGTACCTCCGAGAACACTCCGAACACTCCGTACCTCCGAGAACACTCCGAACACTCCGTACCTCCGAGAACACTCCGAACACTCCGTACCTCCGAGAACACTCCGAACACTCCGTACCTCCGAGAACACTCCGAACACTCCGTACCTCCGAGAACACTCCGAACACTCCGTACCTCCGAGAACACTCCGAACACTCCGTACCTCCGAGAACACTCCGTACCTCCGAGAACACTCCGAACACTCCGTACCTCCGAAAATACTCCGAACACTCCGTACCTCCGAGAACACTACGAACACTCCGTACCTCCGAGAACACTCCGAACACTCCGTACCTCCGAGAACACTCCGAACACTCCGTACCTCCGAGAACACTCCGAACACTCCGTACCTCCGAGAACACTCCGAACACTCCGTACCTCCGAGAACACTCCGTACCTCCGAGAACACTCCGAACACTCCGCACCTCCGAGAACACTCCGAACACTCCGTACCTCCGAGAACACTCCGAACACTCCGTACCTCCGAAAATACTCCGAACACTCCGTACCTCCGAGAACACTCCGAACACTCCGTACCTCCGAGAACACTCCGAACACTCCGTACCTCCGAGAACACTCCGAACACTCCGTACCTCCGAGAACACTCCGTACCTCCGAGAACACTCCGAACACTCCGTACCTCCGAGAACACTCCGAACACTCCGTACCTCCGAGAACACTCCGAACACTCCGTACCTCCGAGAACACTCCGAACACTCCGTACCTCCGAAAATACTCCGAACACTCCGTACCTCCGAGAACACTCCGAACACTCCGTACCTCCGAGAACACTCCGAACACTCCGTACCTCCGAGAACACTCCGAACACTCCGTACCTCCGAGAACACTCCGAACACTCCGTACCTCCGAGAACACTCCGAACACTCCGTACCTCCGAGAACACTCCGGACACTCCGTACCTCCGAGAACACTCCGAACACTCCGTACCTCCGAGAACACTCCGTACCTCCGAGAACACTCCGGACACTCCGTACCTCCGAGAACACTCCGAACACTCCGTACCTCCGAGAACACTCCGTACCTCCGAGAACACTCCGTACCTCCGAGAACACTCCGAACACTCCGTACCTCCGAGAACACTCCGAACACTCCGTACCTCCGAGAACACTCCGGACACTCCGTACCTCCGAGAACACTCCGAACACTCCGTACCTCCGAGAACACTCCGTACCTCCGAGAACACTCCGTACCTCCGAGAACACTCCGAACACTCCGTACCTCCGAGAACACTCCGTACCTCCGAGAACACTCCGAACACTCCGTACCTCCGAGAACACTCCGAACACTCCGTACCTCCGAGAACACTCCGAACACTCCGTACCTCCGAGAACACTCCGAACACTCCGTACCTCCGAGAACACTCCGAACACTCCGTACCTCCGAGAACACTCCGAACACTCCGTACCTCCGAGAACACTCCGAACACTCCGTACCTCCGAAAATACTCCGAACACTCCGTACCTCCGAGAACACTCCGAACACTCCGTACCTCCGAGAACACTCCGAACACTCCGTACCTCCGAAAATACTCCGAACACTCCGTACCTCCGAGAACACTCCGTACCTCCGAAAATACTCCGAACACTCCGTACCTCCGAGAACACTCCATACCTCCGAGAACACTCCGAACACTCCGTACCTCCGAAAATACTCCGAACACTCCGTACCTCCGAGAACACTCCGTACCTCCGAGAACACTCCGAACACTCCGTACCTCCGAGAACACTCCGTACCTCCGAGAACACTCCGTACCTCCGAGAACACTCCGAACACTCCGTACCTCCGAGAACACTCCGAACACTCCGTATACGAACACGCAAAGCTGTGAACGGCTTCTTCCTTCCTTCCACTCAAAGCTGGGATTCTTGGAGGCCTCGAACTACAACCACTCTAGCTGTATGATGGAACGCCCACCAGCTGCAAGACGGGACAAAGTCAATAGTCACTGTTATCTTAGGGATCTTGACAGGTTCATATGCAAATTGGAAAACTGCATTTATATACGTATATATAAGCATGAATGTGGAGCCTCGTGGGAATGCTGCAAGATGGCGTCCTAGTGATGTTGGGAACCCACATCAGTGATGATTGATTGATGAAGATTAAGCCACCCAAGAGGTGGCACGGGCATGAATAGCCCGTGCCACCTCTGTTACCCGTAAATCAGTGTTGGCCTTCGGTTCCTGATGTATATTGTTTCTAATGTTGGTCATTGTAGCCTTACAGCTTACATAATGCCGCTATTAATGTTGAATTTAACATTAGCTTAATTTAGCTTTCCATCAGAGGGATTAGGAGAGAAAGGTCTCACATGATTCACTATCTCATTGATGGTGATCTAACTGGTCACGTCTGTCAGTGTGAGTGATGTCTGTCAGTGTGAGTGATGTCTGTCAGCGTGAATGATGTCTGTCAGTGTGAATGATGTCTGTCAGTGTGAGAGGTGGTGACAGCCTGTCAGGCCACCTTCCTGTCACATGAATATTGTTATAGATTCAGCTACTCGGAACAAGTTCCAAGTAGCACGGGCTATGGTGAGCCTGTAACTTACCTGGCACAGGAGTGGGGCAAGTAGCACGGGCTATGGTGAGCCTGTAACTTACCTGGCACAGGAGTGGGGCAAGTAGCACGGGCTATGGTGAGCCCGTAGTGGGTGTCACATGAAGGAAGGCTTCAGTATACCTCAGCATTCCAAAAATTGCTGTTGATTCCAGTGACAGAAATCTTCCCTGGAACGCGTCTAAACTGGGAGGAGGCCACCGTTGCTGACCTGGATAAGGTGAAATGCCTGCTGAGTTAACTGAGAACTTTACAATACTGAAATAACGAATACAATTGCCTGACTAAACCACATGCCAGAAGAGGCAGAGACAACAACCACGACGTTTCGACCGTTATCAAGTCGAACCTGGACCATTATCGACGTGGTCCAGGACGGAACGAAACCTCGTCATCATCTCCTTATCTTCTAGTGTGTGGTTTGGTCAACATATCTTCAGCCACGTTATTGTGACTTCTGCAAAATGAAATTCCCTGCAATAACTTTGTGTAAATTGCAACAGAACAGTCTCAATGACATATTTTTTTCCATCTGATATGTCAGTGTTTATTTAGGCGGGAAAAAATAGACTGTTCCTCTTATAACAAATAGAAAAAATATGCTTGGTTGGAATGAGCATTTTGGAGAGATTCAAAATAGATCTTTCTTTTGGCAAAAACCATATATAGATGCAAGATTCTCCACAGGGGCTGCCACAGGTGCTGCCAAAGGTGCTGCCACAGGGGCTGCCACAGGTGCTGCCACAGGGGCTGCCACAGGTGCTGCCAAAGGTGCTGCCATAGGTGATTGTCTGCCCCAGGTCAGACGTAGCGCCAGGGGGAAGGGGAGGGATGTGCAGGGGGGTTAAATATCAAGCCATAAAGAGGATTACTAAAGAGCAAGATGAGAAAATCCGTAGGAGCAGTGTTGAGGGGTTCGACCCCCATGCGGTGGGCATGTTCCCCACACACACACACACACACACACACACACACACACGCTTCTAGCGACTAGACCACGACATGGTATAAGGATTGCAACCTGGAGTTCTACTGATCCCACAAGGATTTCTGAGGCTTCTACTGAACACACAAGGATTCCTGAGGCTTCTACTGAACACACAAGGATTCCTGAGGCTTCTACTGAACCCATAAGGATTTCCGGAGGCTTCTACTGAACCCACAAGGATTTCTGAGGCTTCTACTGAACACACAAGGATTCCTGAGGCTTCTACTGAACCCACAAGGATTTCCTGAGGCTTCTACTGAACCCACAAGGATTTCCGGAGGCTTCTACTGAACCCACAAGGATTTCCTGAGGCTTCTACTGAACCCACAAGGATTCCTGAAGCTTCTACTGATCACACAAGGATTCCTGAGGCTTCTACTGAACCCACAAGGATTTCCTGAGGCTTCCACTGAAGCCAGAACAGGATTATCACACAATCCTCCTATGAACTCTGGCTCTGTCATCCAGGACTTGTTCTACCTCTGATGCTTCTCTGTCAATACACAGAGAGTAATCCAGCCCATCCTCCAGAGTAATCACACTAACGTGACTGCATCAATGAGAAAATTTCAAATGATTTGTTAAATCATTCGAAAATTTCAAATGAAAATTACTAAATTTTCTCACTGATTCAGTCACGTAGGTGTGATTACTCTCTAGGTAAAGAGCAAGATGATATTGTGAGATCAAAAGTTACCGACTTTATACTTTTTCGTGGAAAAAGTTTGATAAATATTGAGGTGAAATTAGAAAAAATATAAAGTTCATTTCGAAGGGTAACAAATTTCAGAGATAATGCCTCTGTAATATATGTTTTTCAAAGATAAATATTCCTCGTTTTATGGCAGTGTGAGGTGTAGTACAGACTGAGATTAGAAATCTCAGTCTGTACTCAGACCTAACTACAGCTGTAGGCGAGACCAGTATGCACCCTGCACAGGTCACCGGGAGCTTTACAAGGTCACCTGCACGACCTGACCTCTCCAGGTAACGCCTGGTCGTTAGCTCCCTATAAGGCAAGACCTCTCTATTGTAAGGACGGATTTATTGGCGTCTACAATTTCATGTGTGACTACAAACACATCTCTCGGTGAAATAAATTCCTTTTGTGTTGCATTGCTATATCTTCCCGTAATGGGAAAAAAATGCAACAATGCTAATTAACATTTTAAGCGGTGTGAAAACTGGTGCCTTCGTAACAGTAAATAGGTACCTGGGAGTTAGACAGCTGCTACGGGTTGCTTCCTGTGTGTGTGGGGTGTGTGTGTGTGTGTGTGTGTGTGTGTGTGTGTGTGTGTGTGTGTGTGTGTGTGTGTGTGTGTGTGTGTGTGTTAAAGAGAAACATATGTAGTAGAGGTAATAGAAGAAAAATATATTGGGCTAGAAAGGCGGGGTCCAAGAGCTAATAGCTCGATTCAACAGACACAAATAGTAAATACAAATAGTATATATATATATATATATATATATATATATATGTATATATATATATGTGTATATATATATATATATATATATATATATATATATATATATATATATATATATATATATATATATATATATATATATATATATATATATATATATATATATATATATATATACACACACATATATATATATGTATATATATATATATATATATATATAATATATATATATATATATATATATATATATATATATATATATATATATATATATATATATATATATATATATATATACACACTCTTCACGCACGAATATATCTTGAATTAGCCTCTTCCATCTCATTAATTAGCCCTCATTTCTCACTAGCGCCATCTCCCACCTCACTTCAGGGACATGTTAATGGCCTCTAACGACACCCAGACCTTTAACACACCCGAATTTACCTTTACTTAACTCTCGCACATTTAGCGAAAGTATAAATTACCAGCGAGACCTCTGACCCAGCTCGGGGAAATTATAGGCAAATGTGGATAATTTCTGTTGTTATATTTACGATATCGTTAAAATTTACGACCGACGCGTTAATACATCCGAATTATCAGTCTGTTTCTGTGCCAACTTTTATGATTTGTTTTGAATTACCTTAGAATTATCTGAGGAGCGATGGTGGGTGGTTTAGGAGTTAGAGTCTTTAAGATATCTTCGAGTTTACGTGGTTCCTTGCAGTTAGAACCCCGGCTCCTTTGCCAGATAAGTCCACTACGGGCTCACCATAGCCCGTGCTACTTGGATCCTATGTTGCTATCCACTACAACCTTGTGGGTCAGTTACAGCCATGTTCCTGTCCCAGGTAAGTCCACTACGGGCTCACCATAGCCCGTGCTACTTGGAGCCTCTCTTGCCATCCACTACAGCCTTGTGGGTCAGTTACAGCCATGTTCCTGTCCCAGGTAAGTCCACTACGGGCTCACCATAGCCCGTGCTACTTGGAGCCTCTCTTGCTATCCACTACAACCTTGTGGGTCAGTTACAGCCCTGTTCCTGTGCCAGGTGAGTCCACTACGGGCTCACCATAGCCCGTGCTACTTACAACGTGTTGTTTTGAGTAGCTGAATCAAAAACAACAACAACAACAATGGTTCCTCTGGGGAATTATCTGCTGTAATGTTAATTCAAAATATTCCCGAGCTGATAAAGAATGTTTCGAGGAATATACTGGAGAATAGTTTTATTTAGAATCTAATACAAAAAATGCTGAGTAGATGCACTAAATGCCAACAAAATGCTGAGCGAATGCAATGCATGTTTACCTAAATTCAGTTGCGTCAAAATTACCAAGAATTTCATGCATTACATGTCAGATATTCCTGCATAATTTCCCTTTCAATGTTGCATACTGAATACCGTCAGTATAACAGCCTGAATGTTGCAATTATTTACTTAATTTAATATTCCTATCGAGGTCTTGGACGCTTCTTGCAAGAGAAGGAGTATTCATGACTTTAGTGGTGCATTGCATTGCTTAGTGCAAGGAGTGGCCCTTGGAGCCGGCCGGCCGAGCGGACAGCACGCTGGACTTGTGATCCTGTGGTCCTTGGTTCGATCCCAGGCGCCGGCGAGAAACAATGGGCAGAGTTTCTTTCACCCTATGCCCCTGTTACCTAGCAGTAAAATAGGTACCTGGGTGTTGAGTCAGCTGTCACGGGCTGCTTCCTGGGGGTGGAGGCCTGGTCAAGGACCGGGCCGCGGGGACACTAAAAAGCCCCGAAATCATCTCAAGATAACCTCAAGATAACCTCAAGATAGTGGTTGTGTGTGTGTGCTGCAATACCTTCTTATTGTGAATATATTGCAAGGGCACATTCGAGCTTTCATTGCAAGCATTGCTGTCAAATTTAACCGGACAGGTTAACGCATG